TATAAGGACAAAGGTGAAGGGGAATATGTAGATGAAGAAAATGATAAACATAAAAGTAAAAACAAAGATAAATATAAAGAAAAAGGTGAGGATGAGGATACCGATAAAAGTAGAGATGAAGATAGAAGAAGAAGGATTAAAATAAAGGTAATTATAGAGAAAAGGATATAGACACAGAGACTCAATCTGGGCACTAATTCCGGATTTTAGAGATTTTCGGGATTCTTGGAACTTATCGACATAATAATCGATATTTTTTTATCGATTTTGTTATCAAATTTTCTTGTTAGAAATTTTTTTATCGGTTTTGGTAACAAAATTTTATTGATTTTGTTGTCGAAATTTTTTATCGATTTTGTTTTCAATATTTTTATCGATATCGATATTTTTAACGATTTTGTTTTCTAGACCCTTTTTCGATATTGTTATCGATTTTTCTATCGATATTGTTATCGAATTTTTCATTGATATTTGTTATCGATATTTGTTATCAATTTTCTTATCGATATTTTTATCGATTTTGTTAGAGTTTTGCACCAATATTTTTATTGATATTTTTATAATTTTTTTTGTCGATATTTTTATCGGTTTTGGTATAGATTTTTCTACCGATATTTTTGTAAATTTTGTTAGCGCTATTTTTATCGAATTTGTTTTCGATATTTTTATGGGTTTTGTAGTGGATATTTTTGTCGATTTTCTTATCGACAGTTTTATCGAATTTGTTATCGATATTTGTATCGGTTGTTTATCGATATTTTGATAGATGTTACTATCGACATTCCTATCGATAGAGTATAAAGATAAAAATAAATATAATGGAAAACAGAATAACATAAATGTAATTAGAACAAAGTAGGGTGGAGGTAGAAATATAGAAAGAAACAAGTAAAAAAGTTTAACTTGAGGCGGAGCCGAACATTAGATAACAGGCGCAATTATTAAATATGTTTTTTTTCACCTATCTAAGCTAAGCTCAGAAAAAAGCCGTTCACCTTACTGCAAATAAAATTCTCTCAAAATTTCAAGTCATCTGAAGTATGTTGAGTAATCGGTTCTAATTGACATCTTTTATAGCTAAAAATACATGGCCAAGATCGTTGTTCCGTAGCCAGACCTGCGGATATCGATTTTATTTATTAACAACCTAAGCTCACAAAAAATTTCAATCGATCTGAAGTATGATGAGCATTTTGGTCATGAGCTCTCCGCCTAAAACGTTTTTGGTGAGAATTCCTGAAACGATTTCAATCCTGCTAAGATCCGCGGACCATGCGGGCCAATGGCAGAAAACGTCCAAGTTTGCAATTTTTAAAGATTTGGGGCATTATCATACTTCTTTTGAGAGTGAAAGATTTATGGCCAAAGTCCAGTTAAGCATGCTGTTCCTAAAGCTATCTACCGTTCTATTTAAAGGTGGGCATGAAAACTCCCCCCGCTCCCCCCGTCCCATTTATGCGTTAACCGTGTATCTAAATTTTTTGAGAAACCTCACACTATTTGAAAAGGAAACTTTATATGGGTGATCACTAGTTTTTGTAGAGCCAGACATATTAAGTAAAAATTCATTTATTGTATCCTAGTGGAGGAGAATATGCATTTTTTCTTATATAGTCTAGAGTCTAGACTAAAGGCAATGTTGTGATCGATTTTTTATACTCGACGCGTTCAATCGATCTTCTTGTTCTATCAGTAATTGTGTTTTAGTGAAGACGTATTTCAACAAAAAGCCTTTTGAACACAGAAGAAGAAGGTAAGTTCTATTATTTAAAACCAAGTTTAAATGAATTGGCTTTAATATGGCCTTTAAATTGATCCATTTCTTTTTTTAATACATATTTTAAATATTGGCATTTTTTTAACTTGTAAATGTTTGGTTCTTTGAAATATTTTGAACTACATTTATTGTGCCCCATTTGCACGATTGTGTTTTTCGAAGGCCGTAACACGATGATCGGTAAAATTTTAATTTTGCTTTTCTGTAATAAGGTTAGATTTTTGGCGGCGAGATGCACAAATTCTTAGGGCGCTGTAAATCGCAACACCATACACACCGCTATATGAGTCTGTATAATTGATCGCTATTAGCGATTTTAATCGCACCGCACTACGAAAATTCACTGATCATAAATCTAGTCTAAAATGAGTTGCATATGATTGCGAAGCGGATACCGAAACCTAGACCGAAATGAGTTACTTATAAGAAAAATAAGAGCCATGGGAGTATTTAGAAAGCGATCAAAATGTGCCATGAGTGAGAGCAATAAGAGTCACAAATAACTCATATGATATGTAAAGAGTCATGTGTGCAAGTCGACCTTCCAAAGAGGTGAAACACATTCATTTCTTAGGCTTAAGGTAGCTCATTATGAGGTTAAACCTTCCTATGACTCATTGCAGACTTGACGTAAATGTTCGCTGGGTAATGATTCGTCGATGATTGGCAAAACAGGTTTGTGAATATAATTAAACTCATACAATTTTTGCTTTATTTAAGCGGCGTGAGAAAAAAATAGTACATAGTCTTATATTGTGCTTAATTAAGGCATTCATATGTAGGTAATTATACTACAGTCAAACCTGCCTATACCAATGCATTCATAAGAAAGACTTTCCTTGACCTACTTACTACGTCTTTAATTGAACAAAATTAATTTTGATTTTTTTTTGCAAATAATTGTATCAATATGTTCATTCATTTCATTAGTGTAATCAATGTATCTAACTATTCTTTTTTACTATGTAATTTCAAAACTTTATAGCCGTTTTTTTCGACTTTTGCTCTTTTGAGTTAAATGGTCGATATGTATACGGCTATTTCATATTAAATATAAAACAAAAAGTGATGATTTTATACATATGTGATGGCCTTCGATTTGGCTCAAATTTTGTGCACAGCCTAATTTCATATTACAACTGAGAGAAATGGACTCAATAACTATTTAAAATTGTTTTCCTCAACATTATGGGCGTGGAAAACGTTGATAAAATAGTCAGCTTGGTCAACATAATTCTCTTTAGGTTCACTACTTCTTTGTCTATTATTGGAAAGTTAACGAGTCAAGCTATCTGCTTCACCATCTTAATAACTTTTCATGCAAAACGTTTTTTGAAATTATGGGGAATTTTAATGTTTAATATTACGATCCATATTCCCAAACTTATTTTGACGAAACCTTATTCAATAAAAAATCTAAATAATTACTAAATACAATAATACTATCTCGAAGACGAATTTTTAAATTTACTGCAAAAAGTCAAAACACATAAATTTGTCTCGGTCGAGCTCAAATGCAAATGAATTATTCAAGGGAAAGTAACATTCCCCGTAGTCCTGATAAAGCCGATCATACCTCATTTGCAGAGCAAGGAATAGTGAACTTATAGGGAATTTTTTAACCTAACTGCACAGTTTTATCGATATAATTTTTAAGTACAAAATTAAAAAAAAAACTTTAAATACATTTCTTCGGGTTTTTGTTAGAAAATTTTGAGCAAAGAAACTCAGCACCGTTTGTTACATTTAATATGGAATCGCCGTATTCATGCACATATGTTTAGCTATACGAAAATGTTCAGAACAAATATGGAAATCTATTAAGTCATATCGGCCTTGATGTTTTCTCATAACATCTGCCAGTTGTTGTTTATTTGGGTTTGACTGTACATGAGTGTACATTAGACCATATCAGAAGAAAGTTCAAATAGTTCCAGAAATATAAATACGCTGCTTTGTGGAAGTTTTTTTAAAACTGTACAAGAATGCTGCAAATCTTTGCAATCTTTTTTCCTTTACTATTAATATCACTAGAATAAAATACACCGACCTAGTGCCTATTAAAAAAATATATATCAAAAAACTCCATTTGAGCTATTTTACAAAGTCTTAAGTAAACGTGTTGAAATTCAATTGGAACCTTATGCCTTTATATTTTTTATATAAATATGCTGCAGTAAACACGATTTCCCCTTTTTTATCTTGAGGCTACGACCGACGTTTCTATGTCGTCAAACTAATATGCAAACCAACTTTCAAACAAGACGGTAGATATGTGCGTTGGGTTAATAATTTTTTTCCCTTCCGAATTGTGGACCGCACTGCTCTAATGTTTTGTTTGCATGTAAGCAAAGATCTATGATAGGAGTTTTTTCACTGGTCGTCATTAATATTTTTAGCACGCTATAACTGGCAATTGCGATTACAAGAGAGCGCAAAATTAATAATGAATGTATCATAAATTCGTCACACGAGTTGAAATATTTGCACAAACAAAGGCTCCAATTCAAAAGTATATGTAGGTGGCGCCAGGGTCGAGATATTTTGAAAATTATAAACATATGTATATGGTCCGGCTTGGTTCGAATTTGGCTTGGCTTGGTTCGAATTTGGCGTGTGTAGTTGCAACACAATAAATTATAGATTTTCGAAAAATTTTCCCGAATTGGCGCTGAAGTAAAAATATAAAGTATATTTGACATAAAACTTATGTTCTTTTTTGCGTTAAAAATTCATTTGAAAGCATGACGTATGGAAATACCCTTAAGTACATGGGTCCACCTCACATTCCCTGAGATTCCTGGCAAAAAGGCCCAAAAAACATTATTTTTGCCTATATCTCGAAAGTAATTTTTTGATAAACTAAATTGATACATATTCCGGTTCAGTGGTTTGAAATTATTCTATAAAGTTAACTCAGTTTTTTATTTTTTATCAAATCGACTTATGATAAGCTAGATCGCTCGAATAGCCCCGTGCCCTAGCCCTTGCTTGCAGTCATATTCATACATAGTTACTAAGTTAGTTTATATTTTTCCAATTTGCAAGTCAATGTGTACTATTTACAGTCACGTGTACAATAACATACGTAAATATATATATATGTATGTATGTATGTAGATATTTGTATTTACATATGTAAATGTGTAAAATCATTTAGAACATCTGAATTAATTAACTAAAGCAACAGGTTTTTTTTTTCGTACATTCATTGTAGCGTGTAATAAAGTTGGCATAGAGTGCAATTCGCACCAAAGAGCAACAACAATGGAAACAATCGTGCCAACAATAACTCAACTGGTTTTCTTCCCATCAATGTGGAATTAAAAAGATTTGTACAATTTTGAGTGGGTGTAATTTTAGTTGAAATTTTTTGGCTGTACCAAACACAACTCGCAGAATATTAAATAAAATGTGTAAAATTTTTATGATATTTGTGTGTTTACTATGTTTGCTGCTTAATTTATATGTCACAAGTATAGTAAGTAAAAGTAAAATAAAAAATTTGTATGCGGCTGGAAAATTGATTTTGTTTTATATATGTATATATTTAATAAAACAATTAAAACCGGTTTACTTTTATAGTATTGTCTATGCTTGGCATCGGAGCCGCCAACTTGTCTAACAAATGTGAGTTGATCGTTTTTGAATGCGTAGAAAGAAAAAGCTAGTAATTTATTTATTTTTGCGTCTAGTTGGAGGAGGAAGATGCCAAAGAAATTTTGGATTATGTGCTGAGTAAATATGAAGAGGTTGACATGAAAATTACCGGCGAACCGTTGGCGTAAGTAAAATGAGATGAAGAAAAATGATGAGGTAGTGAGAAGAACTTATGAGCCGCAAAAATTGCTTTCCTACCAATTGATGGCTAAGCTAGACCGGTAGGAACTGGTTTTGAATTATTAAAATTTGTTCAAAGTAATGCAAATAAAAAATAGGTCCATCGGCGAGAGCGAAATATAATGGGTATTATAGTTAACGGCTTGTATTTCTTCTGCTATTGTAGGCCAATCGGCCGGCGATGAGCTTCCAGAAGAGGGCCAAATGTTCAAAGTGTGGTAACATGGAATATAAAAAATTGAATGTTTTCATCAAATGTAAGATAAAATTTAATGAATTTTTAAAATTTTAATAGAGTGCCTTTGTTGTAAAAGGATTTTGTAAAACAAAAATTTTGAAGAATAAATATGTATATAGTGCTTATCATAACTTTACGACACTCACATAGTTACGAAATTTGATTATTTAGTTTATAATTTTTTAATTTTAATTATTTTTTTATACTCAATCCTTATCCAACATTCAAAAAATTTTTAGCCCGTTAAATTTTAAAATAATATAGTGCAAGTTTAAGGTACCTGGAACTTGCCGTTTACTTGTATAATTTTTTTATTGGAGGGTCGCTCATTTTCTCCATATAAAAAAGAAAAATCGTCAAGCTTACTTTGTATGGAAGAAAATTACTGAAATCGTCAACAAAAAAATCTTCGAAATCAACGGCGAGTTCAACAGCTGCTTCAACATTTCATGGACTGTTACAAAAATCGATTGGTCTGCAAACTTGCATATTCAAAATATTCCCAAAAAATTTAATTAAAAATCTCGAAATTTTTACGAATTTTGTTGATTTTTTTTTAAATGTTGCAACATTGAAAATTTTATTTTTATAAAATATGTTAAAAATAAAAAAATATTAAAATAAATGAGCAAATCTTGTAAATATGTGAACATACTATAGCTATTATCAGCACTAAAGCAGCCACATAGCGAGGATTAATTTTTTTAGTGTTTTCAAAATTGTACAGAATTTGCACAAAAAGTAACGGAAATTGCTATACGTAAGCTAATTCTCCATATCCAGTTTTTTTTATTACAAAAAAGGTATATGAAACAAATTTATTAAAAACAGAAATCTGAAAAATCTGAAAAATCTGAAAAATAATTTAGTGAAAAAGTTCGAAAAAGTTCCAAACAAATTCCAAATGCTCCCAAAAATGTCCCGAAATTTTTGAGTACTTCCCATAAAATGCGAGAAGATCCTAACAATTCCCGAAACCCCTTTTCTTCTTTAGATTGTTGAAAACAAGAGAACATACATACATTTGCTATTTTTCAAAAACTACTTTAGATGCCACAAAGAGATTTGATTTGAAAATTTTAATTCTTTCTAGGGTCCGCGGCAAACGTATTTCATCTGGCGGCACTGAGGAGTTTCACATTGTCTTTCATTACGTTGACAACACTCCCGGCGATATAATACAAAATTGCGTTTTTGTTGTTGTACATGTACCGAATGCATGTGAAACGATAAGCACAGTATGCAATACATTCTTACAGTCTACGCCACGTCCACTGTTGCAGCGAGAAGACCTAACTGTTTGCGAGGATGGGGTAGAGCCAACTAGGGCGAGTGAAGTAACCGAAGAAACAGCACAAAAGCGATAAACAGAAATTTAGCATAAGTTTAGTATAAAGGATTCACAAGACGTTGTAAAGGTCTTAAAGTCGTAAAAGTTTTCAACGTAAGATAACGGCTGAAATCTTTTTACGAATATGTAGCCACAACAAAATGTTTTCAAACTGATGGAAAATATATAATTAGCATATAGCATATAATTAGCACTTTTTTTTACTTAACATTGACAAATTTTACGACTTTAAGACTGCTCGACGCTTACGACGTCTTGTGAATCGCCTTAAGCAGGAATTACACGATTTGTACAAATTTTTACTTTTGGCAGTCACAGAGTATTGTTGTCTAGAAATAATGAGGTCAGCTCAATCCAACTCTACTCTGTAACCGTAAAAATGTAAAAATCTCTACAAATGTACAAATCTTGTGATCCCTGCTTTAGTTATTTATATGAACGTATACATATGTATGACATATTACTTAGTTTAGTTACTTAAGTAGATACGTAAGTCAAACTTGGCGAATGTAATGGAACTTTTTTAAAATAAAGTAAATATAATAAATACGATTTATACTTACTTTCATACAAAACTTAAATGTCCTTTGTCTGAAATATAAATTTTTAATACTGAATCCGGCTTATGAGATTTAAAATGGAAGATCAGAGTGTGAGAAAAATATTTTTAAAATATTGCCTATGGCAATTTATATTCGAATTTCCCTTACCTCCATACATATACATATCATATAACTTTAGCATATCGTTTCCATCAAGGAAAGAATGGAAGAATACTGAGTTTATTTAACGCCGCTTTGAGCACAAAATAGTACATTCGCGAAGTGGCAGTAGCAGTTTTCAAGATCAGCTGTTGTGCTTATAATTGCAGCAAGGAAGTTGATCGGGTCGAAATAGAATAAACATCATTTTTGTCAGTGAGAAGTAAAATCAATAGTTATTAATTGCTTATTGAGTTTGAATAAACGCATGGATACGTGGCGTATGAGTAACATAATCGAATGCTCAAATTTCATAAAAAAAATTAATTTTTGTTGTATCTCACAGTGTAACGACTAGAAGAAGCAAGCTGGACAAAATTATTTTATTACTGTTTTAGATAGATAAGGTCGAAGCTAAAAAAAAAAACTACTCTAGAACCGAAAAATATTCCGCGGAACTGATAACCTCCTCCTTTTTTGGAAGTCGGTTAAAAATAAGATAGGCTTGGCGGCACTGTGATCTTACCCCAATTATTCACTTGAGCATTTTATGCTTCGAGTGTATTTGAAATAGAAGAAGTCAGGAATAGAATCGTAGGCTGTGTTAAAAGAGAATATCGACCTTTGACAAAATGAAAACATATCCGCCTTATCCTGAATTTCGTCCGAAAACAAATTCACCCACAATTTGTCATCCACACGTAGTGAATATACGAAAGAGAAAAGTGAGTGATTTTGGGCAAAAATTCATATAAGGCTGAATAGTGTTTAAAAATTTTGTTCACCAGATTTTAGGTATCACCCTTTGATTTGCAAATATTTATCAGACTCTTCAACCTACGGTAAGCTTTCGCACTTTCTGCTAAGCTTTTCTGTTATAAAACAGACGAGGTACTCAACAGACTTGAATTCGATTATGTATAAAAAACAAAAAACAAATGTACATACGTCGGTTGGCCAATGTCTGTTCAATAGGTATAAGCTTATTAACATACGGTTGCGGATAAGCGAGCTTTTGCGCTTAAATAAATTTACATTAGTACATATCGCACACCACCGTCTGCAAAATAGGCACAACACAAAATTTGGCATTCTTGAAATTATCCGCTAAAAATGTACACAGAAGTTTTTATTGCCTTTCAGCAAAAGCTGGAGCAAATTTTTGTTATAATATGTTACAAAAAAAAAACTAAATAAAAGTCTCCCTTGACCACAGGATTTTCATGTGCTAAGAAATAGTTTTTCCCATTTTCTGACAAACGTGTAATTTTGAGTTGTGCCCCTTTTGAAGATGGTGTGCGATATGTACATATGGTATGCACGTAGGTAAACGTGTTTTGGGCGCACATGCTGGCGACCTTCCCCTATATTTAAGTAGCAATGATGGAGCTCGTAAACAAATCGACTTACAAAAAAAAATTATATACGTGTACAGATACGCACATATCTAAATATTTATTTATGTGTATTTGCTTACGTGCATATTTCCATAGCGGTTAAAGCTCGAAGTAGTTTCTTATGTGTACATATTAAGAATGTTAATCCCGGGGCCCAAAAATCCCGGGATTCTTGGCAGTAATTAAAAAATGATTTAAAAAATTCATAGAAATCCTGTAGAATTTAAGCGGATTCAAGTTTTTGGTGCAGAAGGACCAGTAAGTATTAAAAATGTCATTTTAAAATTTTATCCTTGAAATTTCGCAATATTTGTTTTGGAAAAAATAATATGTTAAGGACTTATATAAACTCGATAACATCCTTGAATTTCGTCCTTCTAACTTTTTCAGCTTAAAAAATTACCTATTCGTCTTTGTGAAAACGCCACTTTAAATAAAAAAGTAGGTTTCAAACCCATTTATATATAAGTTATTTTATGGTAGGAGAGCTGCTAAAACAATATAGAAGCACTTTTTTCGATTTAAGTTGCTGGATCGTGGGATTGTGGTAACGACATACCGAAAATCCCGGTATCGGAAAAAGCTGCCTGAATTAACATCCCTAGTACATACATATGTGTAAATGTGTACGTTTCTGTGAGTGCACCCCAAGCTTTTGTTATTATTTAAGTGGTTGTAGTTGTTATCAAAAATTATCTACGTACTGTTAATTAAAAGTAATATAAGTGGTGCGTATGAAATAATAGTGGTATTCATCTAAATCGATAACTTTATCAAGCAGATATTCTTATAAATTTAAGCACTTTGTTACATGAATGCCCCATACTCTGCTTTCGTTTAAGAAAACACAGCTAGAGTTGTGACAGAGCTGCATTGGCTTAAGTTTATCAAGTTTATTCAGTGAAGTCGCGGGAGAAATTTATCAAATATGTGGAAACGAGTTTCCATATAAATTTTGACAGTTAATTTATTAGGTTTGCACAATTATAAGTTTACACGGTTTATAATACCTTTATACGGTTTGAAGAATACCCTTAATAATAAGAGCTACTGAGAATAATTGAATAGAAAAATACTTGTAAGTATTAAGAGAGTTTGTAGGAGAGAACTTACAAAGTTATTTAACAGCGGCTCTCTGCGTTTTGTTTTAGACTTTTGTATGGGAATTGAATGTGTGTTATTTATAATCTAACGCCATATCTGATTCTCTGGAGGCAGTGGGAATTTTTAAGATATTAATTATTTCCATTTTGATTTTACCTAATCTTATTAAAAAAATATATATATATATATACATATCTATAATAAAAATAAACGACAGTGGTAAAATTTTTTTCGCTAAACGGTTTTGTTTTTTTCTAAGCGGACCAGCGATATACATACATATTTTTGAGAATTTATACAGTGCTCAGTCGGTAGCTCGAAAGTCGCATTCGGCGACCCAACTTACACATTTTATAGTGGCCTTATAGATCTCGTCAGATGGGATCGTGATGTCAGAAAAATAAAATTAGCTGTAATTTTCTGTACCTGATTTTTAATGATACAGGATAGTAAATATAACAGCTGAAAATATTAGTTTCTTAGAAGAAAATAATCCTTAAGAACTTATGTATATACCTAAAGAAAAAACTAATATTCCTATTTCGAAGTTTTGTAGCGGGCATTATTTGACATTTTACAGATTTCACTAAAACTTTGATCTACTGAGGTGACACGTAACTTCTCCTGCTCTCACAAATACTAAAGAAGTGAATTTTTAATTTTCTAATTTATATTTCATATACTTTTTATACGAATAACTCACCACTGTGCTTACCAGATTGCAAACAGCTGATTTCAGGGAGAACCTTTATCACAGTTAGAAGAAGTACTTACATGCCTATGTCTGTGCTCTCATTTGTGAACGTGTGTTAGTACAAAGTCGCTAAATAAGCTTCTTCGGTTAACCAAGGGGTGTAAATAGAGAGACCATTTCAAAATGAGAGAGAATAATGTATAAGAAAGCACTACAAATACATGAACATAATTTAGGGGGAATACAAATAAAGATTATTGCCAGCCGATAACAGTTACATGATTTTAAAATTGTGAGTACACATATAAATATGTTTAGATAATTAAATTAATTAAGTGATTAGTTTAAATTACAACAGTTTTCGAATATTCCGGTTAAAAGGTGAACAGATGATTTAACTAAATCGATAACTTTTTAATGTACTTTGTTACTAAAGAAGTAATACAATAATTATGTGAACATGAAAATGTTGAACTTAAGATACGACTTTATGCTAAACATGATGGCAATGCCGAAAAGTGTCAAGCCTCTCATTAATCTACATACATATGTACTAATCGAAGAGATAGTCTCAATAGGGCTATTCGCGATCCGGTGCAAATGGTCTAGCATCATTGCATTGCAAATTTGTATTGCAAATTATTTGCAATACACAAACAAAATGAACGCATTTGCATTTGTCATGGCATGGCAAATTTGCAATACCGAAAATCCATTGCATAAAAATGCTATGCATTGCATTCATAAACAAAACCAAAGCTGTTGCACAAAAATTGTTTTGCAAATGCTTTACCATGACAGTTTAATAAAGGTCGCTCACAATCCATGGCATATTTCTGCAATTGCATAAATGTGTCAACTCTTATGCACCGAATCGCGAATAGCCCTAATGTAAAACACTCTCAAAATGTTGTGTCGCATGCAGGGTTGCCACTGACGAAAAAAATACTTACTATCCAATTCAAAAAAATCCACCAAATTTGGAAAATATCTAGCAATAACTTTATTTTAGTTATTTCAGTAAAAACTATAGTTTTGTTCTATTATTTAGTTATTTTAATAAAAATGAAAACTGTTTATTAATGAACATTGTATTTAATTAATGATATGATATTTGAGATCATATTAATGGCATCTTCTCGGTTTTTTTTTCAACCAAAATCGAAACTAAAGGCAACAACGAAGCTTCATCATTTGAAAAACTTCAACTGGAGTTATTATAAATAAATACATTAGGGCCGTTAAGGATGTTGTGGAAGTGGTCTGGGATTTGCAGTGGAATTGCATTTGCAAATTTTATGCTGGCTGTCATGGCAACCGTGGTCATTTTATAGTTGTGAATTTACAAAGGCAACGAATTTGCGAATGCAATGGCATATGCACATGATCGTGAGCAGCCCTATTGACTCAAACATCCGCTTGGTATTTTTTTAAATTTTTTCTTATGGGAAAGAATATTGTATTATTAACCAAAACCATAAAAATTAAGAATTCAAGCTATATATAACATTAAGAACAATTAAAAAAAAATCGTCAAAATTTCGAACTTTCTAGTGTGAACTTTTGGGTATGAAGTTTTATCGTTCATGGAATTTTAGTTAAATCGATAATGTGGAGCTAAAAATTGCCGTTGATTAAAAAAAATGACCCCCGGTCCTTTGTGTTTTTTATTTTTTTCATATGACAATTGCCATTTATAAAAACCGGCGTTGACTTATTTTATGTTCTTGTGAATAATCATAGTGTGTAATTACATACCTGCCCTTTTTTCTTTCTATTTAAAGAAACATTTGAAATATTGAGGCAATCAAAAGCTGCCAGGATTCCAGTAAAATGAGTTTTGAATGGAGTACGATATGTTCGCCTTTTATCAACATACATGCATATATATGTATATATATGTATATAAAATGTGTGTATTAAAGCGATCGAGAATTAATGCAATAACGTAGACAGCACTTTTGGAAAGAAATATATTATACAGCTAGCTACGGGAACTATATATACCTTTATTTGTTTTTCAAACAAAACACTTTCTACCAAAGTTATAAAAAATTTACCTTTTTACCAGCCCAAATTTTTTTACCAACTTTGATAATAATTTTCAAACTGGCAACACTGGTCCCATGTACTATAATAACAACAATTTTCCAAAGATAAAGATAAAGAGCGAATGTTGAGCAAAAAACTAAACGAAGTCGCTTGAAAAGAAGGTTAAAACGCACACATGCAGGGGCAGCAGCATGGCCGTGAGTGAATTCAGTGTAGAATTTGCAGTCGCCTGAAAATGTTGTGCACCGGAAGTTGAACAGCGGATGCCGAATGGCCGCCGGTGACTGTGTAACACAGAAAATCTTTGCATAATCAAAATTGAAAATTTTACTCCTTCTACAAATATAATCTAATGGAGCAATCGCTTGCATATCCATGCAAAAGTTTTTAACAAGTGCAAGTAATTTAGTGAATAAATTTGTTAAATATAAATGAAACATTTTTCAAAATATTTTTGAGTGTTATAAATTTAGGCGATTGAGCAAGAAAAATTTGCCGAAGCTGTGCACACCAGCGATTGATAATTTCCCTCCCCACTGTTGGATGCTGTTACTGCTACGAAATATAACAAAAGTGAGCGAAACAGCTAGTGAGAATTTTCCACATGTAAACAACAGACTTACGCACCGAGTGACTGAATAACGATAATCAGACTAACTGGCTGACAGATATACAGCTGGAGTGAATTGAGTGCGTTTCAGTTTGTTTGAGGAAGAATATAAGGGGCAAACAACAACAAACAGCAAAGCAAGAAAAAACCACAGCAAATAAATAGACAACATGCCAGTGCTTTTAATTCATTGAAAATTCTGCTGAAAGGCGATAGTGGCAGCCAGAAGAGAAACACATTGCACGCGTTATCAGATGCAAGCGAAACAACAGAAAAAATAAGAAAAGGTATCGGAAAAAATACAAATACTAAGTAGTGCGTCCGCTAAAAGCGACTGCTTGTCAATGGTGCACAGTGTGCTTTTTGAACACTCCATGCGAATGAATCGTAGCGCTTTCGACAGAAGCAATATTTTGATATGAAAAAAAATTGGGTTTGAAAGCTTATTTTATTTCCTTCCGTGGAAAAATACTGCCATTGACCCACAATTACTTCTTAACCTTAAAAAAAATGGTCAAAAATTGTGTTTTTCTAAAAAAAAAAACATGCAAAATCCACCTGATTTATTCAAAAATAAATAAATTTTGTATATTTTATTATACTATTATTATAGATTTTGAGATTTTGACTGTTTAAAAAACGAAAAAAGACTCAACCGTCAATTTTAAAGATACGTTATATATTGAATTTTTTATGATTTGCATGCAGCTGTGCAGCCGTCAAGATCTTTAGTTTGAGCCAAGGTAAAAGTCACTAGGTCCGTTGAAAGCCAAATTTTAGCGATTCTGAAGAACTTCGGAATTTCATCAGACTTTTTAGCATTTTTTTCTTCTAATTTCAGAGTAAAAACTCGTTCAGCAAATTCGAAGTATGGTTTAAAATTGTTATAACTTGGCTCTCAGAGGGCCTAAAGATTTCCAACGTGGCTCAAATTAAAGATCTTAAATAGTACTACAGCGTACTTGCTATTCGAGTGATATAAAATTGTGAGAAGGATGCACTCAAAAAAGCATGTCTTAAATTGAGGTGTTAACATTTTTTTTTTTTCGATTTTTAATCGGTGGAATCGTGTTTATCATCTCAAAATCTATAATATTAGTATAATAAAATATACGATTTTTTTCGGAACAAATAGGGACGATTTTGCATGTTTTTTTGAAGAACACATATTTTTACCAATTTTTTTAAGGCCAAGGAGTAGTTGTGGGTCAATGGCAGTATTTTTTGCTGAGAGGGTATCACGTTAGCTTTAATAACTATTTGGTTTCATATCAAAATATTGCTTCTGTCGAAAGCGCTACGATTAATTCGCATGGAGTGTTCAAAACGCACACTGTGCGGCGGTCGCAGACAAGTCTACATACTTACATACATACATACGTATGTATAACAATGTTGACAGTAGTGCAATAAGATAAATAAATAATGAAATTTAAATATTAAAACAACAAATTTGTTGAAACAAGAGTATAGTGTATTGAACAAAATAAACGAAATTGTTGTGGAAATAAATTGCAAATCGTAAGCAGTGAATAATTTAAGGAAGCATTTACAGAATGTAGCGTAAAAAAAATGTAGAAAAAAGTTCGAATATACATATGTATGTAGAGCATTATACAATATAACACAAGATAACACTCAGAGATAGCGTTTTTTCTTTATTATTTTGAAGTTTAAAGGGAAAACTGAATTTTTGAAGAAGAAGTTTTAAAAACAGCAAGCAAGTATTTGGATTCAACTTAATAACACTAAAAGTAAGTTAATAAATTAATTTTTTACTTGTTTTATATTGAACAAGCAAATTTCCCGCGTTCTTATCGACAACTCAAAAGCACTTTTGTTTTGGCCAGTAATAGAAGTAAAAATTCCAGTTTAGATTGAAACCATTGGAGAGCAGAATCGTATCTCACAAAGGCCAAAATAAGTAGCGCTTTAATGCTTCGAAACACATTGAAAACGACGTGCTAGCGACCAAAGCTGGGTCATTCCATGTAAAAGAGGAACTGATCACATTCTGGAGTAAAATGTCCCACCAGTCACAATGGAATGGCCCAGCTGCCAAATTATTTTACCACGTAGTTTTATCTAGTTAATTATTTTACGGCGACAGAGCTACACGGCTTCTGTGGTTTTAGCCGCATTTGATCTTTTATAGCGACAGAAAAGTTTTTTCCTCTTCTTTTATGTTAATTGCATATCAATTTATCATCGCTGTCGAGTTCAAAAAATTCATGTCGCATTCGACAAAGCTTTTAGTTAATGAAGTTGAAAAATGGAAAGCTTTGTCCGTCGTTTTCAATGTGTTCCAAGCACAATTTCATATATATTTTTAGCTCACTCGGGTACAAACCACTTTGTTAACGATTTGAAGTTGGCCGATGGTCACAAATGCTAAAGCTTCTTGTATGATCTTACCTCTATGCCGATGGCACAGTTCGTCTACTTCTAGTCGTATGTCATGTAAGCCAATTAGGTAGTCAACCTTCGCGTGTTTTCTGTGAGAAGAGGGCCTAGAATCCTCGCAGCTTGGCAGCAGTTTTCCCGCGTTTATTGGCTAGTTGGACTCTGTGATCTTATAAATTATTCAAGGGGGAGACTGATATATCTACCGTGTTCTTCCTTGGAAGGAGGCTAGTCGTACTTAATCCTTGCCAATTCGTCGCTTTTGGATTTCCAATTCCTGGGCTCTTTGACTACCAGGCAAAATTAGTGCATATCCCACAAGCTATAAGTTATTTCTACAGTTCTCTCTTTTCGACTGCGATTAAAATGTGAAACAAAGAAGACAAACGCGTGACTGAAGTTAAACAATTTTTATCTGAATCTGAACCTGAATCTCGATCTTAATCTTAATCGCGACCAACCTCCGTCGCCATCCTATTA